GTCCTCTTTACAGACAAACATGAGCACACTGTTCTGTGTTCCACAGCACACAGGCCTCAGGCTCTTGCTTCAGATCAAAACTTAGATTGAATTATTAACAGTGAAAGTTTCTGCAAATACAGCAGCTGATCCTTCTGCTCCTCGGCTGGGTCTCTGTCATTCATGAAGTCCTCCCCACAGGAATGGAGGCACCCTGGGATCTAGAAGACCACCCTCTATCCAGAAGCCCTGCTTGAACCCCACCCCCCAGAGACTTCTGCTCCCCTCCATGCGCCCCTTTCCCCACCGCATAGAGAAGGAGGCAACATAATCGAAAACAATCAGCAAATATAATTGGCCCATACAATTAGCCTTGAGGCAAGACAAGGAGACCTTCCTCAGCTCTAGACTCAGAGCCAACCCGCCATCCCGGCCTGCTGCTGCTGGAGTTCATCAGATTTCTCCTGTCCAGAAACGCTGGTGAGTGGGGAAGTAACTGGTGGCAGACGATTCCTGGCCATTGAGGTGGAGGTGTGTCCTCCTCCACACCACCTCGGTAGGCAGGGAGGCTGCAGCTGCCAGCAGCTCACATGAGGAGGCAGCCACAGGGACCCACCAGGCAGGCCTCTGGGCCAAGTCCCAGAGCAAGGAGGCAGCTCGTCAGCAGGGCTCATCAAGCGGCTGAGCTGGTGGGCAGCAGGCAGGGTTTCTGAAAGGTAAGGGTGGACTCCATGGGGTCAGGGGAGCTGACCACTCAAGTCTAGCCCCCAGCCTCTTTATGAAAGGGGAGTGTGTGCATCCAGGGTACTGGAGCCAGAGGTCAAGGTCAGAAGGGCGATCAAGGCCCAGAATCAGAAAGGCAAATGTCTACGGGAAGCCAGCCACCAGCCAAGAATAAACAGGACAGAGCCGCAATGATCTCCTTTCAAAGTCAACACAAGCTTCCCTGGGCCTACCTCTATCACCGGGGCCAGCCCACATGACAGACAAGCAGACAGACACACACACACACACACATGCACACGGAGCCAAGCCCACACAACAGACGACAGACACACACGCACACATGCACCCCTCGGCAGTGACAGCAGTCAGTTCTTGCTCTGCATCCCCACCCCCATCCATGCCCAGCCTCCTTGCTACAGACACTTACACGTGCTCACAGTCACAGAACATCACCCACACAGCTCCTGTGCCTTTCTGATTTCTGGAACAACTGGTGACAGTTGCAGGTTGAAACAGGCACAAAGGAAGAAATGCAGGAAATCACTGAGTTTCTCCAAGAAGGTTAGGGGAAGAAAGGAAGGAGCTGCAGATAGGCTGGGGTCGGGGATAGGTCGTCCCACACTGCAAGGGCAACCTCTAGCAGCTCTCCTAAGCTCACGGGGACCCACACGGGGTCAGAATCCTCTCAGAAACCATGTGAGGCAGGTTTAATGTGGCTGCAGAATAATAATACCCTACATGTGAACAGGACTCTCTACTTTTCAAAGAGCCCTTCCATCCATTATCAGATCCTAGAGTAACACTGGACAGCAGAGATGCTCATCTCCTTGGCCAAATGACCACCCGTCCCCATGGGGCCCAAAGACGTTTCCTCCAAAATAACCTTTAATAGCTAAGCATATGTAATACTTGTGTGAGCGTGCTTGTTTGTGTGTGAATGCGTGCAGAGGCTTTATGTAGCAGAGTGGGATACAGTCAAACAAAAATGAGGTTGCCATGGCAACAGGCTCTGGCATCATTGCAGCCTATTAACACAAGTGAGGAATCTGTTTGGCAGATGCTTGAGTGTTATTTATGGTATGGGTGTAGCAGAGGGACTTCTAACAGGCAAAGAAGGAGAAAAAAAACAACCCCATGACGCGTCTACTGTATCCCACCGAGGAGACAACAGTGAGAGGCTGAGAGGCACAGAGAGAGCACAGAAGGAGAGGCTGAGAGGCTGCAAATGGGGAGTAAGAGGTGGGGAAGCCAAACATGCAGGCAGGCAGGGGAGAGAAGAGGAAGGCAGAGAGCAAGAGGGGACAGGAGGGCGAGGGAAGAAAAGGAAGTGAGTGAGATGGAGCAGATGGGGAGGGGGACAGATACCAGGGGACCAGCCACAGCAAGAGATGTAGAGAAGGAAGAAACATCATCCCCCAAAAAGGGCTACCCCACCTTGCCTCTGTTCCATTCTCTCTTGAGTAAAAACCATCAAGAGGCACCGGCTAAAAAACCAAATGTTTCTCCTCCTAACTGGAGCAAAGGGCAGAGCCCCAGATATAAGAGAGACAGGGGAAGAATCAAATACCAAGGTCAGATACTGATGCTGAGGACCTGGGCCATGGGCGGGAGGGGACCAGCCTCGCAGAAGTGAAGACATGCCAACACAGTTTCCTGAGGGCCTACATGTGCCCAAGGCACCGGGGAAAGGACTTCCCAAAGCCCCAACATGAGGAACCACTCACTGCCGCCCCATTTCCCTGGACACGTCTTCACCAAAGAAAAGAACAAGGCATCTAACCCAAGCCATCCTCAAACACTTGCCACTCTGGGGTGACCTGAGGCAGAGGCTGGACTGTGCCACTAATATTTCCCCACCATCAAGCAGGGTTTGCTCAAGAAATACAAATTTTATATCAGACATAATCAGAAAGGCAAATCAAATACAAACAAAAAAAGACACAGTTTTCTCCGAAGCCAAATAGAAAGAACGTTTGCATTCCCTTGGCATGGACCGTTCCTAACAAGCTTTTCTGTACCCGACAGAGCAGATTGTGAGAAGTTAAGTGCAAATCCACCCAAAAGCCAAAGCCAAGCGAACAAACGTCTAAAGACCACAGTGGGTAAAATAAAATAGCTGGGGGTGGGAGCGGTAGCAGTGGGGAGAGGAAGGAGAGAGATTTGCCCGAGGAACTACAAGGCGAGTAAGACCCTCTGGGGCTGCAACGGCATTTTCACGCTAAGATGGAGCTGGAGCACCCCAGGTTCCTGGGATTCAACTCCAATTGCCTGAAATCACACATCCAAGATTGCCTAGGGCTGTAACCAGACCCTGCGACCCAAGTCTGGTTTAGAAAATACCCTGAATGATCCTGGAAATCTCTGCTGCTCCATGCAGATGACATGCCCTTCTCTCTGCAGAAAAGCTACACCCACCCAAGCAACCTGCCTCCCACCCAAGCCAGGAACAACCCCCAAAGATACAACACCCACGTGACACTTTGGGTCCTCAGGTCCAAAGAGTTGGCGCCTTTATAATAATATTAGCTAACTTTTTTTAAAACCACCACCACTCGATAGGTTTCTCCCTCAAGTTCAAAGCTGATCTCTAAAGATTTTCTCTCTTCTGATTCCAGATCAGAAAAACTTTAGCTTAGCATCAACAACCCCACCTACTCCACTCCTTGGAACCCAACCCAATTGGCAAGCAGTTATTAAATCCCTACTAAGGACCTCGTATGTGCTAGACAAGGGAGAGAGGGTGGAGGAGGAAAAACACAAATACATAACTCAGGATTCCTGCATCCAAGCAGCTTACATTCAATGGGGAGCAAAGTCAGTGGACACTGGAGAATAAGTAAGTGCTCCACTCTGCGGCTCTGACTCCATTGGTAACCCTGCAGAAGAGGGAGAGCCCAGTAAGGCTGGAATAGAAGGAGAGGGCTCCTGCAGGAGGTGAGGCTTGGGACAGAGAAGGGGGCATAAATAATCCTCTCATTCTCTAGAAAAGGAGCCTGGGGCCTGGAGAGGTTGCAGGTCCCCTTCTTCCCGGTCATAGAGCACCTTGGAGGTTCAGCTAGAACCCAGCACCCTGACGCCCAGAGATGCTATGCCCTGTGGGAGAGTACCATACCCAGGAAGTTAGGGGGCACAGGAGAGCCCCTCAAGAAAGCCACAAGTACTCACGAGATAAAAGTCTGAAGAAAGGCATTAGAAGTGGGGAGGAGGAGGAAGACAATGACAACAGAACATGGTTAAAACATTCTACTAGAGGAGGCAGATGCCTGGTGAGGGGTGCAGCGGGGTCCACGGTCAAGAGACTAACCTGCAGCAAGGGCCCACTTGACTCCTTCACAGTCAAGCTGCTCGCAAACGTGCAGACTCGGCAGGGGTGAATGGATGAGGCCCATGGAGCCACAGACAAGGGAGAGGATGTGCATGTCAGAGGGGCTGGTCTCACCCCGAGGTCAGGATGGCAAGCACACCCCTCTCCCAGCAGCCTTCAGTGCAGTCACCAGTTAACCACGCAGAAGTTTTATTTCCTTCTGAGCCCACCGTTCTAGGCTCGCCCAACTAGTCCCAGCAGAGACAAAAAGCCCCCATCACAAGCAAGAACCAGGAGCACCCAAGTGAAGGAGTCGCAACGTCCCATACTCCTTTCTGCTCAGGCCAGGAGGGGGTCTGCCACCACACACATCTCAGAGGCTCTTTCCCACCTTTGTGGAGGCAGCTTTCCAGCTTGGGGCACTTTCCTAAATGACAAACTTGTGAGTCCTCCATCAAGTTCAGGGACATCTCCAGCTCCCAAACCCCAGCCTCAGACAACTGGCAGCATTATCCTTAAGACTGGGCAAGGGGCACCCAGCGCCTCCCTTCCCCAACTCTCTACCCAGGACTCAGTTAACAAACCAGCAGTGGCTCTCAAGAGAGAGAGGCTGCTATGGGTCCAGCCACTTTTGTCAGGAGCCTTTTATATACAGGGACAGAAGCACAAGAAGCCAAGGGGACTTCTCCATAGGATTTTCTCCTCCAACCCTCCTTCCTCATTTTCATCCCCACAAAAATGGCTACGGCTTACTGCGTGTTTTCTACAGGTACAGAAACATTACATATAATACCAGGGTACTCTTCTTGTAAATGAAGATGTTGGGGCCCAGAGAGGGTTAAGAGGCTGGAAGACACCACACAGCTGACACAGCCATGTGTCTCTGGCTCTTTTCGCCACTTTAAAGGGGAGGGTAGGATGCCTCTCTTTGGAGTCAAGCCAAGGCCTGCCCACCCCACAGTCCAGTCCCTGCGGCCAGGCGGGCTCCTACCTGCTTGAGCAGGAACTGGTCCTGGGCGTTGGTGTGCAGGGCGATGGCCAGATGCAGGGCAGACAGGAGCACCCCGCTTAGTACCGCGGCCCGCATGCGCACGGGCAGCAGCGTGTAGATGGTGTAGATGAAGAACACGGTCCACCAGATGCCCTCGGAGGCGCTGCGCGGCTGGGGCATCAGCAGGCCCACCACCTGGACGGCCAGCACCACGGCGATGAGCGCGTAGCAGGCCAGGCCCATGTGGTCCTGGTGGAAGGCGGCGCGGTTGCAGAGCACCGCCATGACCAGGATCACGCCCACGGCGGCCGCCAGCACGGCCAGGTAGGGCAGCTGGCGCGGGGGCCGCGCCGCGTGGAAGGCCAACATGACGAGGCACACGAGCACCAGCACGGCCATGAGCATGGTGAGGCTGCTCTGGTTCAGACGGAAGAAGTAGCGCTGGTACAGGCGCTCCAGCTTGTCGGACGGGAACTTCTTGGAGCGGAATATCTGCAAAAGCGCCAGGCAGCAGGCGCCCAGCGACAGCACCGGGCCAGGACCCGCGCCCGAGCTCCCCGAGCTGCCGCCATCCCCGGACCCCTCGTCGCCCTCGACGGCGCCGGCCTCCAGCTCATCGGCCGC